CACAGCTGGGTGGTGGTTGTTAGGATTCTTTTCCCGTGTTGCAGTCATGGGATTGTTTTCATCACATGACGGTGTATGTTTTCATTCCACAATGTGGGAAGTGATGGAGACAGGATGTTTTTATTACTGTGTTTCTGTGATGTAGGATTTTTGTCCTTGGTTTTTTCTCTTTGCTGTCTGATGCTGAAGAGGAAGGAGCCGAGTTACGATGCTCCGAATTGTATACATGTAAATAATCGTAGTTTAGCCAAATTTGCTGTGCTACTGAGTCTGAACGCTGACTGCCTATACTCTGCTGATCCTGAAGTGTGTTGATGCCTCTTGGTATCAGTCGCTGTGATGTTCGGGCAGAAGAAAGCTTAAAAAAACCCCAACGAACGACCAGGAGGGAGAGAACATGCCAGTCGGGCATGTGTCTCTGCTGGACTCCTACTCGTGTGTAGGACCTCCTGTCAGTTGTGCCCGAAATACTGTTGTTGTTTATTATGATGATGTTGTTTTAAAGATTGTACACATGACCTCCACAATACAGCTATGTCTATATATACATATATGCCAACGCCCTGAATTTAGAAGTGTTGCAGTTCCACCCATGATATTCAGCGAAACACAAAATATTCTGCATTCATATTTGAATGCCATAAGATCAAGCCTCCAAATTCAGCATGAGCAAGTATCTTGCCTTCAAATATAGCTGCACTAAAAAATTAATTCATGTTTCAGGTGGATCAGCTCATGTTTAGCACTAAGAGGTCTTTTGCTACAAGTTCTAAAATAAAAGCTCATCTTGAGAGGAAAAAGGTCAGGCAATTATTTTTATGATGGGCTGCCCATTGAATTTATGTTGCTGTACTAGGATTACATGGAGTTCTCAGCCAAATATACGATTTACTGTACTATAATAATTCTGCAATGCGTGATAGATAGGACAATGATCCCTTTAATGAACAACAACTTACTTAATCCCTTAATAGATTTTTCAACAGGACTGCCGTGAATCTGAAAAAGATAGAGGTTTTAAGACATGTTGCACTAAAAGAAAAGTTTGCTGAGTGATTAATAATAATTTGTTCAGTATTTGCTGCCCAGAATGCTAAATTTTCACTTGCATCTGTTAATGTCAGAGAAGCAATAGATAAATATTTCAGAGGAATCTGTAGATGCCTTGCTTGAAATGAACATTTTGAACTATTAGTTGTTGCTTCCAAGACTCGCGAAAGAGGGAAGCAATCAAAATCTCAGAAAATGAATGATTTAAGGGATGAGTATTTGACCCACTGCAAATAATTATTTGGAAAACACATGTTATTTGGTTTAAACATGATCCATGGGAATATTTCATGCTGTTATAAATTTGGGGGGGAGGGAAGCCCCCCTAAACCAAATAAATCAATGCATGTCAGTATATAGCAAATATCTGGGATATTGAAGTGGAAAGTACAGAGTGCAGCAGTTCTCCTGGGTGTAGCCTATGCAAAGTAGTCTGGCTGGAATAGCTGGATGTGAATCATCATGAAACAATAGACAATCCATATCATCTCAAGGGGAATCCCCCCAGGTCTGTGCAAAACAGAGGTTGCCAAGGTGACAGGAAGGGGTATGAGGTGGCAGGAAGGAGGCTTGAGTTTTTGGCAAAGGATTTTCTGGGAAGAAGTAGGGAAGTAGGCAGAACTGCAGGCGACTGAAGGGCAGAAGCACCTTGGGAGGCTGCGAGAGAAACAAGGGAATGGTGTGCAGGATACCTTGGACTCTAATTTCGCACTGCTTTGGGGAACAAGGTCTGCTGGAGATGTAAGACTGTGAACTCCCTCCCTCTCCATGGAAGACTATAGGTCTCTACAGGTGCAAAATAAACCATCTATCTTAAAATGCTACAGCCTCTGCCGTGTCTGGAAACACAACCCCCTGTGAGTGCCTGGAACCGCTGGAATCCTGCTACCGCTCAGCAGGGATTGAGTTGTTATGTAACAACACAAAAGTAGGTCCCTCAGTTCCTTCTCTGTGTTTCCCACCTCTCTGGAGCAAGATTCAAATGGCCTTTCAGCATGCAAAGTTATATGGAAAGCAGAGAGGTGCGACCATACTGGAACATGTCTCAAAACACAGTATGTATTTTGATGAACCATCAGAGTGGCAGCCTTTAGGACGTCATGACTTACAATTTGTCAAAAAGCCTTGGATGACAGCAGCTGAGTTACACAGTGCAGCAACGAAGCCAGTTTGTGTCCTTTTATCATGGAAAAGGTTCCTTTTCTGTTCAGAAGAACCCCAGGGGAGGGCGCCATTTTGTGGTTTGCCTCAGGTGCCAAAGTGTCCGGCCCTGACCTGGAGAATGAATGTTCATTTGAAATGCATGCTTCCTACTCACAACAGCACCCTCTGTCAAAGTATTTCCCCCCTTTTCAGTTGGGATATCCCATTTGTCAATGCTGGTGTGCATGATCTCTCCCCAGGGCAATTGTCCCCATTGCCTTCCTCTGTTAAAATGGACCTGGTGGGCTTTAAACTGCTGTGCCTGCAGGAAGGACCTGTGATATTTTGAGTTTTTGTGGAACTCTTTGTAATTTTAGGTGCTTAATAATGCAGCTGTTCACAGGTGACACAAAATATGCAGGGAAATGAAAATGAATGAATGTATATATGAATGGGTTAAGGGATATTATCACATGCACACATGTCCAGTGAACATGTGAGAATCAGAGCTGAGTCATCAGCAACTGTTAAGAAAGGAAACCAGGAGTTGTTCCCAGGGAATCAGGGCTGAAGAACATGCCAGAACGCATCAGAGACAGGAAGGCCATTGTTGCTCTGGCAATGTCTTGGCTGAGACAGGAAGTCTTTTATAGTCCTTCCTGTCTAATGGTGAACCTGGATGGGCAAGTTCCAGTCCAGGGCCAGAGAATACTTCACTGCCTTGGGAGATGCCCAAAACTATAGTTCTGTGACTTACCACAAATGGCATCAGAGAATTTCGTGTTCTGCTCTTGACAATGGGTGAAAGAACTGGATCGTGCTCTGTGGTCACACCAATGGCAGTTGATGTTAGTGTGAAAGAAGTCCCATGCATATCCTCATGTTGTTGTTGTTTAGTCGTTTAGTTGTGTCTGACTATTCGTGACCCCATGGACCAGAGCACGCCAGGCACTCCTGTCTTCCACTGCCTCCCGCAGTTTGGTCAAACTCATGCTGGTAGCTTCAAGAACACTGTCCAACCATCTCGTCCTCTGTCATCCCCTTCTCCCTGTGCCCTCCATCTTTCCCAACATCAGGGTCTTTTCTAGGGAGTCTTCTCTTCTCATGAGGTGGCCAAAGTATTGGAGCCTCAGCTTCAGACCATATTTTGCGCTCTCCTCTTTCACCCTCATTAAAAGGTTCTTTAATTCCTCCTCACTTTCTGCCATCAAGGTTGTGTCATCTGCATATCTGAGGTTGTTGATATTACTTCCAGCAATCTTAATTCCGGCTAGGGATTCATCCAGCCCAGCCTTTCGCATGATGAATTCTGCATATAAGTTAAATAAGCAGGGAGACAATACACAGCCTTGTCGTACTCCTTTCCCAATTTTGAACCAATCAGTTTTTCCATATCCAGTTCTAACTGTAGCTTCTTGTCCCACATAGAGATTTCTCAGGAGACAGATGAGGTGATCAGGCACTCCCATTTCTTTAAGAACTTGCCATAGTTTGCTGTGTCAAAGGCTTTTGCATAGTCAATGAAGCAGAAGTAGATGTCTTTCTGGAACTCTCTAGCTTTCTCCATAATCCAGCGCATGTTTGCAATTTGGTCTCTGGTATCCTCATATCCTCATAGTCATAGCAAAATGCTAAGTGTTTGCATAACAACAACACAGCCTAAATGTCTAGTGTTGGCTGGTCAATGGATCACTCAAAATCCTGTTCACATTTTATTTCATCATATCTGGCTGTTTAGAGCAAACACTCCTACATAATTCTAGACAAGCTCAACATAAAGTGTGCAATTTACTGCTGATTCATCAGCAGAATGTTAGAAGCAATTCAGGAATCAGTGCACGGAGCAAGAAATCCATTAATGAGAGAGCCTATGAGCAATTAATAATGGTTATTCTGAAGGGAGAGGAGAGAAGAGGGGGGAGGTAAAACTCCACCGTGTTTTAGCTAGCTCCAGCTAACAATTGCTTTGAGCTATGCAGGTTCAGCTCTGCAGGCCGGCAGTGGTTTTCCTGTCTGGCTCAGCTCTGCAGGCCGGTAGTGGTTTTCCCGTCTGACTTCTCACCTCAGCTGTGCAAAGATGCAAACATTTATGCGAAGCAAATAATATTTGCAAAGATCTGCAAAAGGGAGGGGGGGCTTAGCTAGCCTAATAAGGTAATAAAGTGTATCTCTGCCTGTTGATTGGGGAGCAACTGGGGCCAAGCTTGCAGCTTCAGTATAAGAATGCTCGGAAGACAATAGGGGCGCGGCCAGTCTTTGGAAGCTATTCCACTGGCTGACTCTGCGCAGAATCTGCAATAAACCTTTTCTCTGTGAAACCCACCCTGGTGTTTGCTTGACTCCTTCATGCTAACGGCAAGGGCACGAGGTGACTGGATCCGGACCCCTTAGGTTCAGATATCCTAACATATCTGGTGCATTGGCCGGGAACCCACCTCTCCTGCTGGTTGAGCTTGAAGGCCAGGCTCGACTGGACGAACAGCTTGGATCGGCGTAGACGGCTCCAGCGCGCACCTGCCAGTTGCGGGAGGAACCAATCACTCCGTTCCTGAGTGGAGACGTCCGGTCGTGGGAGAAAAAGGATCGGCCGAGGGAGGACATAGGGTGTGTCTCAGGACATAGAGGTAAGCTCTTGGGGAAAGAGAAGAGCTGGAGATCTGATCAGTCTCACCTGGGTGTGGCAATAACGTGCCCCCAGGAAGGGTTGGCCGGGACAGTGGGGTCCTGCTGCCAGTGTGTGGAAAGGAAAAGGGTGGTGGGTGTGGAGGTGGACTGTGTGTTGTATGGCCAAATACTCCAGTGAAAGGATGAATGTGTGAGAGGTCGGGGCTTAGCGTCTCCGTGGCCAAGCGTGTCTAGGGCTGTGTGGTTCTTGGCAGTGCGAGCTCGTCCAAGCCACAGTCTGTAGCGTGTGAAGTGGGCAAGGTGCTGATTTTGGCTAGGAGCGGAGTATTCTGGTAAACATGGGTTCAGGAAGCAGTAAATGTACCCCTTTGGAATGCTTCCTGAACAACTGGAAATTGGCCATCAAGGATGATGATTGGGGGTTCAAGTTGAAGAAGCAGCGGCTTAGGACCCTTTGTGAAGTGGACTGGCCGACGCAGGGGACTGGCTGGCCGTCCCAGGGCAGTTTTGATGGACGGTTGATCAATCCCTTGTGGTAGAGAGTAATTGCAAACCATCCAGACCAAATTCCCTATATTTCCACGTGGAAAACCAATGTGGATAAAAACCCCCCTTGGCTACAGGCTTGCCGAACTGCTCCACCACGGGCAAGGATCTGTGCTGTCCGGCAGCAGAAATTGCCTCTTGTTGTCCAAGACACAGAGGAAGATGAGTTAATTGTGAGGCCACCTCCTTATACCCCCCCAGCACCGGCCCCACTACCACCACAGAATGATCCACCCCCGCAGAATAATCCCCAGGATAACCCCCCAAACCCAGTTGGTGGCAGCCTTATCAACCCAACCCCTGAGGATAAAAACCCCACCAAATCAGAGACAGATAAGGAGGATGAAAGTGACGATGATGAGGAGGATGAGGAAACACTGTTAAAGATGTTGGAAGAGAAGGTACAGAAGGGGGAGAAGTGGAGTAAGAAGCAAGACAAATGGATAAAGGACTATGTAGACCCCTATAAAGACCAAGTGGATGTTAGTCCCCACCTTTTAGAAGTGGCACGTTGTGAGGATGGGTGCTGGAAGAAGAAACAAAAGAGGTGGCTGGAGGCAGCACGTAGAGCCACCACCCACCATGAGAGAGAGAGAGGGAAGAAAGATCAGGCTACAGCCTTGATGCCCCTCCGGGTAGTTTATGACCCCCCGGGACCGCCAGGGGAGAATGGGGCAGCAGCACCACACACCTACACAATCCAACATGTGCCTTTTTCAACTGCTGATATTTGCAATTGGCGCAATCAAAACCCCTCCTTTGAGGAGAACCCAGCCAAAATCATCAAACTTTTTGAAGGGATCTTTAAAACTTATGACCCTACCTATGATGATGTTCAATATCTTTTGGACTCTCTGTTAACAATGGAAGAAGTCCGGAGGGTCCATAGTGAGGCAAGGGCGCATCTGAGGCAAATGATAACCAAATGAATGATGCCTACCCCCGAGCCACTCCTAATTGGGACTATCAGGATCAGAATGCTCGGACCGCCCTGGCAACATACAGGAACCATGTACTGGCGGGAATGAGGAGGGCAGCTAGGAAGCCCACTAATTTGGCTAAGGTGGCTGAAGTGGTCCAGAAATCAGATGAGTCGCCAGGGGTTTATTTGGAGCGCCTGAAGGAAGCCTACCGGCAGTTTACCCCTCTGGACCCGGACGATCCTGCCAATGCTCCGGTTGTTAAGGCAGCCTTTGTGGCCCAAGCCGCTCCCGATATTCGCCGAAAAATTCAGAAAACCGAAGGGTTCCTGGGCCATGGGCTGGAGTGGATGTTAGAGGTGGCACAAACCACGTATAACCAGAGAGATGAGGTAGCCCAGAAGAAGAAAGAAAATTACCAGGCTAAGAAACTCATGGCTCTGCGCGCCAGCAACAGCGGCACGGGGGAACCTGCCCGGGGAGGCCTGGCCCACCAAGACTGAGCGGTCATCTGAAGTTGCTAGGTGTCTGCTCCGGGAAATCATTCCCCGCTATGGCTTGCCCCGCTCCATAGGGTCGGACAATGGTCCAGCTTTTGTGCACAAAGTATTGCAGGAGATAGCTAAGCTCTTGCAGATAAATTGGAAGTTACATAGTGCATACCGACCCCAGAGTTCTGGAAAAGTAGAGAGGATGAACAGGACTTTGAAAAATCAACTGTCCAAATTGACACAAGAGACAGGGTCCAATTGGGTAGCGATGTTGCCCCTCGCCCTGCTCCGGGTTCAAGTCTCCCATCCAAGCGAACCCATCTCTCTCCTTTGAACTGATGTTTGGGAGACCTGTTCCCTATGTACGCATGATTTCCCCACCCCGGTCCAGGATGTTGAAACAGATCATTATGTGCAGTCACTCTCCCGCACTCTTCTTTCTCTCAACAGGTGGACCCAGGCTCGCACCCGTGTGTGCTGGTCGAGCCCCTACACCGTTTCGAGCCAGGCGATGATGTGTGGGTGAAAGACTGGGCCCAAACTCCGCTACAGCCTTGCTGGAAGGGACCCTATACTGTGCTTCTCTCTACACCCACTGCTGTCAAGGTTGCTGGCATCGCCCCTTGGGTCCACCATACTCGTGTGAAGGCGGCATCATCAGACTGGACTGTGTCTCCTAACCCGCAAGATCCTCTTCGGCTGACCATCTCCAGGCGCCCGACGGACGACTGCCCTGCTGCTGTCACTCCAGGAAGCTGATAGCTCTACACACGGCTGAAGAGAGAGGATGGGAGGGGTACCCAACGCCAGTACCCCCAACGTTCCTGATAGCCAAGCCCTTCCCCACGCCCCAATCATGCCTGATATGTGGTGGGAGGAGCCCTGGACTCCTGGGGCTTGGTGGGCTTGGGTTCTGTGTATGCCCCTGATTTTTTGATGCTTTTGTATTTCTGCTGGCACGAACGCCCCCGGATGGATGGGGAGGATATCACTATGGTTGCAGGCCCCTTGGTGCTTTTAGTGCTTCTTTGCTTCTGTATTCCCTGCTTGATGCAATGCATGCAGAATATGATGGAGAAAATGATGTCTCGCATGATGGGCCCCCGTGTGATAGCTTACCTGAGGGAGTATCGCCCTGTCCCTGTTGATGCACCTGACGGTGATCAAGAAGAAGAGGAGGGAGTGAAGGGAGAGGAGAGAAGAGGGGGGAGGTAAAACTCCATCGTGTTTTAGCTAGCTCCAGCTAACAATTGCTTTGAGCTATGCAGGTTCAGCTCTGCAGGCCGGCAGTGGTTTTCCTGTCTGGCTCAGCTCTGCAGGCCAGTAGTGGTTTTCCTGTCTGACTTCTCACCTCAGCTGTGCAAAGATGCAAACATTTATATGCGAAGCAAATAATATTTGCAAAGATCTGCAAAGGGAGGGGGGGCTTAGCTAGCCTAATAAGGTAATAAAGTGTATCTCTGCCTGTTGATTGGGGAGCAACTGGGGGCCAAGCTTGCAGCTTCAGTATAAGAATGCTCGGAAGACAATAGGGGCGCGGCCAGTCTTTGGAAGCTATTCCACTGGCTGACTCTGCGCAGATTCTGCAATAAACCTTTTTCTCTGTGAAACCCACCCTGGTGTTTGCTTGACTCCTTCATGCTAACGGCAAGGGCACGAGGTGACTGGATCCGGACCCCTTAGGTTCAGATATCCTAACAATTCTTGTTGCTTCGTCTTGCTGCCCCAATTAGCAAGTGCTTCATTTTACAAATTTCTATTTCACTTAATTAAACCCATTCTTGGACCCAAATCTTGCTGACATACCCTTCCATTCCTAAAAATAACCACCAAGCCATCTTCTGTGCAGTTTCACCACTTTGGCCAGAATTTATTTCATGTTTTTGAAACAGGCCCTAAGATATATGTATTGGTTTTCCCCCAACAGGCTACTTAAATGTGTTAAGCATATAGCTAATACAGAATAAGGGAAACAAAGGCAGTGAACCTAAGGAAACAAAAGCAGCCATAGAAGCCCTGAAATTTTTTGAATGGAGAGTTTAAAAATGAAGTGGGAGAACTAAGACCTGATTTGTTGTCCTGTTGTCTCTCTATGTCCAGGATTCTTTGCCTAACCACGGATCTAGCTTGGCCCAGGCCCATAGTTATGAGGGTTTGGGGAGCAAGGCCCAGTTTCTGAAGAGTGTTTAAAACTGCTGTCTGCCAGACTGAAACTGGTCGCTCAGAATCAATGGGGCTATTCCTCGGGGGAGCAGTTTCAGAGTTAGCCACTTATATATTGATGTTAGACTAATATGAGCTTTGACTTTCATCATGCCTGTTTCTAGTCTGACCTATGCATTTGAAACGCATCTGGGAACTTGTAGAAGGGTTCTGAGGAGTTTGGATTGCACTCTTTCTTTTTTTAAAAATGATATTTATTAAAGTTTCAACATGAAAAGAGACAATAAAAAAAGAATTTAAAAATAAAAAGAAAAATACACAATACAAAATACAGAAAGAAAAAAAAGAAAAAACAGTTAAAAACAATTCCATCTTTTCATCACTACTTTTGGATTTACTTATTTTCTGGACCTCCTCATACCTCCCTCTTTTGTATTCCAATTCAGTTTGTTTGTCCAGCAATTCCTTTCCCTCCTTTTTAATCCCAATCCTTAATCTTAATATAATATAACATTAAATTTTTACCTATTAATAGCCAATTTTCCATTCTTTTAACCTTTTTAATCCTAATCCTTAATCTTGATCTGTATATAACTTTAAAGCCTGTACAGCTAGAAACCACTTAATTTCAATCCATCATCACTCTAACATTCTTTAATTTTACAATATTTCTGTAGGTAGTCTTTAAATTTCTTCCAATCTTCTTCCACCGACTCTTCTCCCTGGTCACGGATTCTGCCAGTCATTTCCGCCAATTCCATATAGTCCATCAATTTCATCTGCCATTCCTCCAGTGTGGGTAGCTCTTGTGTCTTCCAATACTTTGCGATGAGTATTCTTGCTGCTGTTGTTGCATACATAAAGAAAGTTCTATCCTTTTTAACACTGATTGGCCGACTATGCCCAGGAGAAAGGCCTCTGGTTTCTTCAAGAAGGTATATTTAAATACCTTTTTTAATTCATTATATATCATTTCCCAGAAAGCCTTAATCTTTGGGCACGTCCACCAAAGGTGAAAAATGTACCTTCAATTTCCTTACATTTCCAACATTTATTATCAGGCAAATGGTAAATTTTTGCAAGCTTGACTGGGGTTATGTACCACCTGTATATCATTTTCATAATATTCTCTCTTAGGGCATTACATGCCGTAAATTTCATACCTGTGGTCCATAACTGTTCCCAGTCAGCGAACATAATGTTGTGTCCAACGTCTTGTGCCCATTTAATCATAGCAGATTTCACCGTTTCATCCTGAGTGTTCCATTTCAGCAGCAAGTTATACATTCTTGACAAATTCTTAGTTTTGGGTTCTAACAGTTCAGTTTCTAATTTTGATTTTTCCACCTGGAAGCCAATTTTCTTGTCCAAATTGAATGCCTCCATTATCTGAAAATAATGAAGCCAGTCTCGCACTTTGTTTTTTTTGATTTTTCAAAACTCTGCAATTTCAGTCTATCTCCATCTTGTTCCAAAATTTCCCAATATTTCGGCCATTTGACCTCCATATTGAGCTTTTTCAAGGCTTTCACTTCCATTGGTGACAGCCACCTTGGAGTTTTGTTTTCCAATAAATCCTTGTATCTTATCCAAACATTAAACAGTGCTTTCCTGACAATGTGATTTTTAAATGCTTTATGTGCTTTGACCTTATCATACCACAGATATGCATGCCATCCAAATACATTGTTAAAACCTTCTAAGTCCAAAATGTCAGTGTTTTCAAGAAGCAGCCATTCTTTCAGCCAGCAAAAAGCTGCTGATTCATAATAAAGTTTGAGGTCTGGCAGGGCAAATCCACCTCTTTCCTTTGCATCCGTTAGTATTTTAAATTTTAGTCTGGGCTTCTTGCCCTGCCAGACAAATCTAGAAATATCTTTCTGCCACCTCCTGAAACAATCCATTTTGTCCACAATTTGCAAAGTTTGAAACAAAAACAACATTCTAGGCAATACATTCATTTTTATCGCAGCAATACGGCCCAGCAGTGAAAGCTTCAAATTTGACCAAATTTCTAAATCTTTTTTCACTTCAGCCCAACATTTTTCATAATTATCTTTAAATAAATTCCCATTTTTTGCTGTCATGTTGATCCCCAGGTATTTAACTTTCTTAACCACTGTTAAACCTGTCACATTCTGAAACCTCTCTCTCCATTGGTGTTAGATTTTTCTCTAAAACCTTAGTTTTTAACTTGTTCAATTTAAATCCTGCAACTTGACCAAATTCTTGAATCAGTTCTAAAACCCTTTTAGTACTAGATTCTGGCTCCTGTAACGTCAGTACTAAATCATCTGCAAATGCTCTCAATTTGTACTGTTTAGCTCCGACCTGTATACCTTTAACCAACTGGTCCCTTCTAATCATGTTCAGCAAAACCTCCAGGACCGTGGATTGCACTCTTTCAAGGGGAATGAATGAGGAGGGAGGTGGGCCCAAAAAGGATCCGTAAAGGAGCTGTGCCAACATTTTGGCTTAATATAATTTTAGTGCTGCGGTGACATAAAAACCCCCTTGAGTTCTAAAAAATTTAAGGATAGCATTTGCAGATCTTGCTCCAGTACTCCCATTTGAATTAATGTGAATTTTGTTGGATCCTGATGCCTGGACCGCCATTCCTAAATATTTATAGTTCGAGACTTGTTCTAAATTTTGGCCTTGAAGTTTCCAGTTTCTGAGCTTTAGTTCCTTTGATGCTGCATATTGTTGCTGAACTACCATTCCTGTTACTCCCAGCAAGCATGAACAATGACCCCTGATGATGGGATCTGTAGTTCAGCAACATCTGAAGGGCCAAATGTTTCTTGCCTGCAGGGCAGGGCCGGCCCAAGACATTCTGGCACCTGACGCAGTCCACAAAATGGCCTCATGGAAGAAGGGTTGAGGAAGATCTACATCAGGAACTAAGATCGGGAGCTGCAGCCCCTGTAGATCCTGTCACCCGAGGCAGTTGCCTCACTTTTCTTCATGCTATAGGACATAAATACAGACGTCTCCCAATTTACGTTCCTTCAACTTGTGCGACCACGTATGCGTACAGCAACGGAAAATAATTTTAAAAATTGATTGGAGCTGGGGGGAAAGCATGAAAAGGTAAAAACAGCCTGAAAAGAGCAGCAAAATTTCAAAAATGGCATGGCCTATCTTGAATCACAACCAAGGTACTGGTGTAGCCCCATTGTCATAGTTTCCACGTCGTCTTCCAGTGATGAGGAAGACCGAGAGCCACCATTGCCACCATTCAAGCCAGTCTGGTAAGTGCTGCTGGTTTTTAAAAGGGTTTTCGAGGGTATCCAGAGAGTGTTTACAGGAATTTTAGATGGTATTCCCCTCTGTACATGTATACACACGGTACCCGGGAACGTAACCCCCATGTAAGAGGGGAGACGCCTGTATACCAAATAAACAAGTCTTTTCATGATGGGGTTGCATCCAAACCATAACTCATTGCGTGTTCAAACCCAGAAACCCCCCCCCCCTAAATAAATTCACACATGACTCAAATTTTTGGTTTTTGTAGAATTTAGGCCACAACTTCACTGATTACAGAAAGTGACTGGTTGCATAGGTGCTGGTTCAACTAGCTTCCCGCCATG